GGTTTGGAGCGTGATGGACTAGGAGGATATGCACCAAGGGCTTCTAGCATGCTTAAAATGGTGAGTTCAAATATCCGGCTCGTCTTTAAGTCAGATAAAGTGCTATTCAAAGGTTTACGACTGCACCATAGAGGCAAATGCATTAAAACATGCGAACATTTGTGTTTACGAACATTCCAAGAATGAAGCACAGCCAGCTTTTGGAGAGAACCTCTACAGAACTACTTTTTCCGGCCTTAACAAAGCCATAGCCGCTTACCAGGTGGACTAAAGTTATTGTTAACTCTAAGATTATTGTTAACTCTAAGACCACAAATAAGACGCAGTCCTAGGCCTCTTACTTGTGGTGGAGGGAACTGAGGGACTACGGAGTTGGTCCCTCTAACAACTTCACCTTAGCACTTGTTCACAGACCCGAAAAGGACATTGCTCACTATGCACAGGTAAGGAGAACTTTTTTTTACTTCTTCTCAAAGAGATGATCGTATTTAGATGGCGTGGGATACTAGTTACAAGCTTGGCTGTGCTGTTGTAGCTTGCCCCAATTTCACGTATGGAGTCTGTCAATACGGACCAAGGTAAGCAATACAGACAAATGAAGCCAAGCCATTGATAATCGTAATGTTCAGTGGTAACTGGATTGACAATCTGATCTACACAATTGGCAACCCTTGCAGTGGATGTCCAAAATCGTACACATGCAATGTGACAGAAGGACTTTGCGAAAAAAAATAATCAATCAAGTTCAAGAAAAGCGACAAAGTTAACAGATCATATCTGAGATCCTATATGATAGAATTTAAACATGGTTCTAGAAAATCAGGAATTTGGTGATTTTAGCAAAGTGACAAAATAAACTTCTAACTCCAGCACACCGTTTACTTTCTCGCCTTAGTGTGGAGTGTTCTATAGTGATTTCTAGAAAGTTGTCAAGTCCACAGATTTGTGAAGGTAACCAAAAAAAACGGATGAGTAGGCAGCCTTATTGGTATGCCTGCCTGCCTTAGCTAATGATAGAAATATTCGACGCTACTTGCCATACCGAGGATTTGGATGAGAAAATGAATTCTCACAACAAAAATTTTCTATGGTGGCTCGCTTATCTGATATCTGATGATTTAAATAGGCAATTCAGCATTTTAGAAAGGTATCTGCTGGGACGCTCTTATTGCATCCCTGTTTCTATTCTCTTTTGGTTCTTAAGTATAGGGATAATCAGGTTTATTATTACAGTAGTGAAGGGAT